TCCAAGTCCAAGATCGACACCCGGAGGCCGGCTTCGGTACCCAAAGCTTATCTTTGTCCCTTCGGAAGGGAACCAAGCCAGGCCAACTCATACACCTCCTGTCGTGTGTGTCGTGCACCGTGTGTCGTGTGTCGTGTCGTGCACCGTGTGCGGTGTGCGGTGTGTTAACTGTGTTCAGGTGTGCACGTGAAGGGGCACATCCTGCCCGGTACGGTGCTGGCGATCTACGCAGGAACGGTGCATTTTCCCTACACGCTCAACGAGAACGCCATCAAGGGCAACAACTACATGTACGGCCGCTACGATGGTACGCACCCGCGCGTGTGTTCTCTTTGTGCGGTGGTGCGTGTGCGTGTGCGTGTGCGTGTGCGGTAACGACTGTGCGTACCCTAACCTCGATCCCGACCTCGTACATACGGTTTGTCCATGCATGCACAGGTGTGGTCGTGGATGGCCGCGATTGGGAAAGGAAAGCGTTCGCGGCCCGCCGATTACAGACCAGGCTCGAGGTCTTGGCTCTCTTCTCCCCTGCGCGCGCGTGTGTGTGTTGGTGGTGGTGCGTGCGGGCCTCGGCTGAGTCAGTCCTGACGCGTCTGGTGTTGCGCTGGTCGTCTTCCAGAGAGTGGGCCAGTCCATAAAGGACGAGAAGACACTGCTACGGTTCCGGAATCCGTTCGGCATCGCCCAGTACATCAACCACCCTCCGGGAGGTACACACATATCTATTTATTTATTTATTTATTCTTTGTGTATTTTTATTTTATTTCTTCTTTTTATTGGTTTTTGTCAGCGCATTGTGCGCATTCCTACAACCCGACCAACACAACGCACAGGCAAACAGCCGAATGTGATGTGCGTTGGCTACGAATTCCCCAACACATTTCCTGACGAGCTCAAGCCCTACATTCCTCACGAGCACGTCAAGGTACGCGCCTTAACTCTCTCTGCGCGCGCGCATGTGCGGTGGTGCGTGTGTGCGTGTGCGTGTGCGAATGCTGCCTTGTGCGATGGTGCGTGTGCGAGTACGATGGTAGCAAATCGTCTCGGCTGCACCTCATGATTGAACTTTGCCTTCGGGGAATGAGCAGGAACCCAACATCTTCTTCAACACGATGACCGATTGCTACATCCGGTCGATCATGTGTATCGCCACCCGGCACATCACCGATGAGGAGTTGTTCCTCAACTACCGGTACGCACACACACCAACGCCACGACACACAACACACACAGACACACGACACACGGCGCACGACACGTACGACACGACGCATGACACATGGCACACCAGCGCACACGCCACAATTCACAATTTCACTCACACCCAACACGCCATAGGTACAACCCGATCAACCCGTATCCGGACTGGTATGTGCAACCCGACGTGGCGGAGGCCGAGCGGCGATGGAAGAAGCCCAAGGCCTTGGCCAACCCCTTCTGGTAGAAAAGTGAGACGTTGGTGTTTCTTCGACCGAATGTTGCTGGCGTGGCTTATGGGTCGTCTGGGGGTGCTGGTTCGAATCCCACCTTGTTCTATTTCACCAATTTGCGGGTGTGAACGGGCAACCTGTGGTTGCTGGCCAGGGTAGTTCACAGTGCCACACTTGTGCGGCACAACCAACCAATGGCGTGCAAGTGCTGTGTTGCCTCACCAGCCGCAATGGGTGGGATTTAAGGAGGACCCTGTTGCCACCTTTCTTGCTCTTGCACACATGCATGTGTTGCCTTCCAGCTAACCACACACTGCACATGCATGACTGCACACAGGCAAATGTTGCTCCTCTGCTGGTGGCAGAGGCCACCACACCAGCCTTGGATGTGGTGAAGATGAAGTGGTCAGTCTTGAGCATGCAGATCAATGTCCCACTGCACCATGTTGATGTGTTGCCTTCCAGCTAACCGCACACTGCACATGCACATGTTTCTGTTGGATGGCAATTTTGACGAAATATGTGCACTTTTAACGTCTTTTCTTGCACATTTTCCGTTCACATTTCTCAGATCAAGTGCATTGGTTGGTGGGCCCAGAAGAGCAACAATGGAGCACAACAAGGCACCAAGGGCAAATGGGGGGCAAGGATAACAAATTGGCAATGGGCACCACAATAAGAGGAGCTGGGACTGCCATTGGGTGGGCCATCTTCACTCAGGTGGGAGGTTGAACAATGGAAGTGCACCACTGATCACTGCCAGGCTGAATTCACAGTGGCCAAGGAAGTGTTAGAAACTGCCCTTGGTGCTGAAGCACAGGCATGAACCTGGGGACACTGAAGTGGCTAGGGAGAGGCCATCTGCCTCAATCACAATCCACATTCATGAGATGGTGTCAGGTGCATGTGTATTGGTGTAGGTACTGGAGGCCATCTCACTAATGCTGGGATTGCCTGAGTGATACTCATGATGCATGAAAAGCATTACCTTCACAGGGACATCAAGCTTGCCAATATCTTGGTATGTGGCCTTTCTTCTTGGGCTTGCAGTTTATCACATATACACAACATGACACAACCAAGGACATGACATGACATGACACAACATGACACAACTAATGACATGACATGACCAATGACATGACATGACCAACAACACAACATGACCAATGACACAACCAACAACAGTACCAATGACATGACCAACATGACCAACAACACAACCAATGACACAACACGACATGACCAACAACACACCATAGGTCTCACCCTCAAGGGGCAGGGTGCTTGAGCCCAAGCTCTGCAATTTTGGGATCTTCACCTACTCTCCAAGGCTGCTCACCTTCATGTACTCCTGGGTACATGCCCCATGAGCTGCTGTCCCCAGAGGCTAACATCTTCTACAACAAGGCCATTTACATCCACAACATTGGGCTTGTACTGGCAGAACTTCTCACTGGCAAGGTAGGCCATGATCTGACCCCAGCTCCAGCAGAACTAGATTAGGTCCATTGTGACTTGTTTGGAGCTCTTCCTCAATGTTGGTGAGTATGTCTACTAACCTTACTGCCATCTCATTGTGATTCTGCAATAGCATCTTCTCAAGGAGTGTTGTGATTGATTGGGGCACAGGTGGGGGACCCTGCCCAAACAGGGGATATGGGTGGATGAGAAGTCTGCCTTATGGTAGTGGCCAGTGGTAAGGTATGGGGAGAGGGAGGAAGAGTTGGACTTGGGCCAAAGTTGCTGTTCATTGTCCAATACATGTGCAAAGTGGAGCTGCATCTGCTGGTCTGCAATGGTGTCCATCTACATTGAGTGTCCCTAAAGGACCCCACCAACATGGGGCAGCATATCAAGCTTCAAGTAATATATCTTCATCAGCAGCACCAGCCAGGATCCTTGGTCAAGTCTAGCAAGTGGAAGGAGGGGACAGCCTGGCATCATTGCCTTCTTGACTACCACAGAGGAGCACACAATGCACAGGAGAGGGCTGGGTGGCAGCCCAGTCATCACACTCACTGCACACAAGGCCAGTTGTGTCATGATGGCACACAAGGAGTTGGCTACTTGGGTCATCCAGGTTGCACTGCCCTCCTATCCTCCTTTCACCTCCTCTTAGGCTGTTGTTGTGTTGGTTGAAGATTGTTCAATATTTCCACTGTTGCTCCAAATGCTCTCACACCATGACCTGTCTCCAGCTCAGCAGGCAACCTGGAAGTCATGGTTTACAGAAGCCTGCTCCCTGGCTTCACCCAAAACCCACCATTTCTTCTACTGAGGCCACTGCCAATGGTTGTAGTAGGAAGGAGGGGTGTCAGCAAGGGATTTTGGGCAACCATGACACAGGCCACTTACCTTGAACATGTTGTTCTCAAGTGTGTGATGGTTGTGTGCAGGGTCTTGAGCTTTCTCTTAGGTCCACAATTTGTTTCTCCTTCAGTTAAGCATATTCCTCCACCGCTCCTTGATCCCTGACTCCCTGTTGTGAAGGTGACAAGCTCTTGCCAGGCCTTGTTGATGTCCCTCCACAGCCCATTGTGGACTGAGCTCCCTTACATACCTTTTCTGCCTCTTGTTGTGAACTGTGTCTGCACACTGTCAGTGGAGTGGCTTGGGCAGTGTTGTGTGCACTGCAGCTGGTGCTTGGAAGTTGTGTGAAGATTGTCACTGTCATGTGTTGCTGATGACAAAGTAGAGGATGATCCCAGCACTCTCCACAAGGGCCACAGACAGGCTTGCTGATCAGTGCCATGAGAAGGGTGATGATCTCTGTGCCAAGCGCAAAGAGGTGTGGATCCTTCCACACTATGGAGTTCCACCCACCAGTCTTGTGCAAGTAGTATCCTTGGCATACAGTCAAGATAGCAACAACAAGAGTCATGGATGACTGAATGGCAAGGAGTGTATACTCACCCTCACACATCACATAGTTGTCACCAATTGCATGTGTAAGCAAAAGTGGCAAATGTGTTATGCAGGACATTATTGTCTGGCATCAACAATGGTGGTGTCAGCAAGGAGTGGTGCTCACAGCCCTCCATACCTAGTAAGGATGGAGACAGAGGTAATGAGGAAGTGGGGTCTGGACAACCACAAGGCATCAAGATGGAGTTGCTAAAACAACTTAAGGGGTTGAGTAGCGACATGATGTGTTGGTTGCTTGTTGCACACTCATTTTTATTTTATTTTTTTATTGTTGTTGGTGGTGGGGACCACATTTGCAGTTCAAGATACCTGGAATAGCTCATTGGGCGCTGTCGTGGCCTTCGCTTTGCAGGTTCAGGACTCGTTCGATCAAGGCCTGGTCGCTGTCCATGCGTGCCAGCCACAGGGCGGCGGGCTCACCCTCGACCAGTCCGTGCATGGAGTGCACGACCCCCAGCACCTCCTTGACAGTCCCGCGCATGTCCTTCGCGATGCACGGGGCGGTCTTGCGCCGACGCTCATGCGGCTCATCGCCGCCGCTCATACGCAGCTCGTGCCGAGCCAACTCGCGCTTTCGCACCAGCTTGGCGATCTCGAGCAACTACACACGCAGCAATCGCACATAGGTGACTGAGTGTTTGTGCGTGTGCGGTTGCACCGCACGACACGACACACGAGTGCAGTAAGTACCTCTTCGAAGAGTATGCTGCCTCCTCCCTCTCCACAGCCGTTGCCTCTGCGCGGCGCGCGACTGGGATCGAGGGGGTGTCGTGGGGCGCCGTGTTGGCCCGCGTGCCACTTGCCCGTGTTGTTGCTGTGGAACGCGCGGCGGACCAGGAGCGAAGTGGATGGCACGGGCACCACCTCGACCAACTCCCAACGCCCACCAGCCCCGCACCCCCGCAGGTGCAACTCGACGTCGATCTTGTACAGCCGCCAGTCCGCTGTCGCTTTGGCGATGAGCTCGCCTACCTTGTGTGGCGACTGGTGAAGCACGTCAAGTGATCAGCTTCAGTCGTGGATGGCCCGAGCACCACAGCACTTGTGATGAGGCGGGAAAGAGGCGTACCAGGCCCCACCTTCGGCGCAAGGACCGACGCATGGCTGGTGCCAGCACCGCACACGCGCACCCGCACTAAGAGGTTTTGTGAGGGAGGGCACCAACAAACAACGTAAAACCAGGGGCACGGACCTATTCGGGTACGTTCCATCTCCTGCGCATGAGAACTCGGCTTGTCTCCCCTTTTCCCTATTTCTTCTTTTATTGTTCAGGAAACAGAAGCAAAGAATTGTGTTAGAAAAGACGTCATTGGACGTGATATAAATTGAGAGAAATAAGAAACGGTCGTATTTACACATCTTGTAGACGTAGGTGGTCTAGGCGGCTTGGTCGATGGGCCGCCGGCAGGCCGCGCAGGTCTTGTTGGTCTGCAGCCACGCCTCGGCGCAGTTGGCGTGGAACATGTGCCCGCAGCCCAATTCCCGCACCTCCTCTCCCGCCACGTACTCGCTCAGGCAGATCGCGCATGACTCCCCTTCGTCCACCTTTTCGCTTTCGTTCTCTATCTCTTTCTCTTTCTTATTCTCTTCGTCGTTGTCCGCGTTGTCGCGGGATGACCGCTGAGCGGGCGGTCGGTAGGTGGTCCGCTTGGTGGTGCGGTCGATGAGGGACTTGGTGGCGCCGCGCGACGGTTCGTTGAAGAGATCCGGCCGCACGAAGTAGAGCACAGGCATGGCCGACGCGGCGCACAAGATCACAGCCACCAGCGTTCCCACCATGACCAAGTGCGCCTCTATCATTGTGGCACAGTTCAACAAAAACTCCAACACCTCACCGCACACACCCCACACGACACGACACGACCAACGACGCGACACAAAAGAGGGAAATGTACTCAGGACTAGAGAGCATGCTTGGTAGAGAATCGGCGCAGCGTCAGCCTAGCAGGAGAAGGAGTGAAAGACACACTTAGCGTGGTGCGTGCGTTTACGCGTTTGACTTGGGCCGCGGAAAAACGTACGCAGTTGGATTCCTCAAAGGTCCAGATGCAGCCGAACACGAGCCACACTATCCAGGCCACATTGAGCAGCACGCCGCTGTAGACTCCAGCGATGTCCAATCTGATAACGACACACACGACACGACACGACACGACACGACACACACGACACACACGACACACAACAGCGAAAGTTAGTTGGCCAATTTTCATGACAACTGCAATCAGGCAGGACCGTACAGAGTGAACCTGGAGGCGGCAATGAACACGTCGTCCGACTGCGCGTTGCGGTCCACGACCAGCTGCGGCACTCTCCTGTGTTTCCACACCACCTGATGACCATTGAGATGTGAGTCGTAGTACGTGCACCCACTTCAATGGGCCGGACGTACGTTGAGAACGCCGAGCACGCAGAAGACGATCTCGAACGAGGCCCACGCGCGGAGGTGGCTCTCGCAACTGGCACCGCCGTTGGCCGCCATGCCTGGCCAGTCAAGGATTCATTCATTCATTCATTCATTCATTCATTCATCAAAACGGGACCCCTTCGCATGAGGCGCTGATGAGAGGGCCGGGGCGGGTACGCACCAACGCCCAGCGCGCCCGCGACAACGGCGAGGTAGACGCCATAGCCCAGGTTGAGCCCGTGCCACGCGTAGCACACCTTTCGGCCGCCTGGCCACGAGTCCGGAGCAATTCGGCCTGATCGATTTTTTTTTATTTATTTTAGTAAAGATTCAAATTGGAAATGATTTCAATAATAAAGAATAAAATAATAAATAAATTTAAAAATGGTACCTCCAGGCCGGCTCATCGGTTGCTCGGCGGGAGGGGTTGTGAGGCTGGTGTTGGCCGGCGGGGAGGGCGTGGTGGGCATGAACGTGGGGAGGGCGAGCAGGGGCGCTGTGTCCGACGCAGATGTTGGCGCTGCTTCGAGGTCTCGGGTGTCCACTTCCATCTTTTGTTCTTCTCTTCTCTTCTCTTCTTTTGAGTTTGGTGTGTACCAAAGATATAAGAGAAGGAGGCACAGCTGGAAGGGAGTAGCTTGGTGAAGGACGCAGACGTGCGACACTTCTCAAGCCTAGATCGCCACAAGGCGGGGGGGGGGAGTTTGGCTCCTGTCAGGCCCGTCCACGCCCCTCGTTGTCGTGAGCTCCTTCTTCTGCCCGTGCGACAGGAGAAACTGGCCAACCAATCAATGCTCAGCTCCCAGCTTCCGCGGAACGGCAAAAAGAAATTCACGGAATATATTTCTAGGAAACATCAAAGAGAAATGCACAAAGAAAAAAGAAAAAGAAAAAGCAGAGGGATATACTTTTGAGGGGATTCATGATGGAAGAGCTGCAGGGGTGTGGTGGTCTGCCGCTGGAGGGGCTGCCAGTTGAGGTGGCGCAGCACGTCCTCGCCTTCCTTGAGCCGCTCGATCTCCTGCACGCGAGCCAGGTGTGTGCCGGGTGGCACCAGCTGGCCGCCGACGAATGGGTGTGGGAGCGCGTACACCACCACACCTTCGGTGGACCCCTGGTGACCGCCACTCCCAAGAAGGCCAAGACCAAGAAGAAGACGAATTCAACTCATTCATCGCAAGATGAAGATGAAGATGAAAGAAAAGAGGTAGAGGCCGCAGCACGCAGAAGAGCCAAAGAGTATGAGGCGCGTAGCAAGACGTGGCGCGGTGCGTGCCTCATCGCGGCCCGCCACGTAGAGACCAGGAATGACCACCCCGCGGCCTTGGCACGGTGGGCCTGCGGCTGTGGCCACCACCGCCTCCTGGCCCGCCTGCTCGGCGACCACCACCGCGAGGCCACCGCGCACGAGCTCGACGCGCTGCTGGCGACGGCGACGACGGTCGGCCACGAGGCGGTGGTCGAGGTGCTGCTACGGCACGGCGGGGCCAACCCCAACTTCCCCGGCTCGGCAGGCCAGACCATCGTCCACAAGGCCGCCAACCTGGGCCGCCTGGCCATCATCGAGGTGCACACACCGCACACACCGCCGCACACACACCGCCGCCGCACACACCACCGCACACACGCGCGCACAGGTGACTAACAACGCAGACTAACGACGCAGTTGTTCTTGAGCTATGGGCACATCGCAGAGCCGAACAGGGTGCTGGTGGAGCTCAAGCGACGACAGGGCAAGGGCGCCAGCCGCGGGTCGCTCGCGCACCAGGCCGCCGCCCAGGGCCACCTGCGCCTCATGGAAATTCTGCTGACGTCAGCCGCAGCTTCGGCACCGGCCGACCGGCGCGACGCCGCGCGCGCCCTGCTGAGCGCCACCGACTCGCGCGGCTGGGCGCCGCTGCACCACGCCATCCAGAACGGCCACATCGAGATGGTCGAGCTCCTGCTGCGGCACGGGGCCGACGTCGACCAGCTCCTTGTCAGCGGCACTCAGCGCGAAACGCCCATCGCCCTGGCCATCACCGCCGCTCACACCGCACACACCGCACACACCCATTATGTCGACATTGTGCGTGCGCTGCTCCGGCACCACGCGCGCTTGGAGTCGATCGCGGGCAACCCGGAGGCGGTGGGCGCCATGCACGCGGCCTGCGCGGTGGGCGCGCTCGACGAGGTGGTCGATCTGCTGCTGGCGGCCGGCGCTGACATCAACGCGCGTCTGTCGGGCGACGGCCGCACGCCGCTGCTCGTTGCGCTCCGCTCGGCCCACTGCCGGCTGCGCACCGTCGAGCGGCTCGTCGATGAGTGCGGGGCCGACCTGCGGGCCGCCGACCTGCGCGGCAACAACGCGTGGCACTACGTGTGCGTCGGGCGCCCGTCGGCCGAGAAGGTGGCGGTGGTCGAGTGGCTGCGCGGCCGCGGTGTGCCGCTGTCGCCAGCCGGTAGTAGTGCCCAGCAGTCAGGCGCGATGCTCTTTGCGCTGCTAAACAGCCTGGTCCACCACTACCCGCACGAGAACGCCGACGCCGCGCGGATGCTGGCGACGATGTGGCGCCTGCTCGGGCCGGGCCTCGACGCCCGCCAGCGGCTCCGGGCGTGCCTCGAGGCCGCCCGCTGCCACCACACGCTCCTCGCCCAGCTCTTCGTTGTGGCCACGGCCGATGATGGCGCAGCTCCCGATGCGGTGGTGGGCATCGATCGGGCGACCGCCACGCGGGTGCTGGCGCGCATCGTGTCGCGCGGGTACATGAACGGCTACGAGTGGCGCGATCCCTTCGCGCTGAACAACGTCGCCTTCCTGGTGCGCGAGGGCGGGGCCGACGTCAACGCCCGCCTGCCGAGCCGCCAGTTCACCGACAACCCAAACGACGACGATGACGAAGACGACAACGACGATGACGACGATGCGCGCGACGTGCAACCGATCTGCTTCGGGGTGACGTGGTTCGACTTCAAGATGCTCCATCGGCTCCAGGAGCTCGGCGCCGAGCTGCGCGCCCGCAACGCCATGGGCGACACGCTACTCGCGCACTACCTGCGGCCGACCACCACGGCCTGCCCGGCCACCACCGTGCCCTCGCACGACCCCGTCACCGACTGGCGCACGATGGCCCTCTTCGTGAGCTGGCTCGCGCACCTCGTCAAGCGGCGCGGCGTCGAGGCCTCGCTGGCGGGCATCTACCTCGACCTCGACCGGCCCGAGTACCACCGGTGGCCGGCCTGGGCCAAGACTCTCGTGCGCGAGTGGGTCACCCGGCCCGACCGGAACGAGTTCGAGTGGGACGCGTACGACACCAACGCCTGGCCTCGCCACGCGCTCATGCTGGCCTGCCGCACCAACGAACCCCTTTGGTAATAATAAATAATAATATAAATATTGTACTTGAAATAATTATAGACACAAAAAAGGAAATAAATAATTGTGAGTTTTATTTGTTTACCCAAGTACTCCACACCCGATGTCTTTGTTCTTCCGCCGCGCGTGTCTTAGGCGTTTTGTGTTGAGGCACCCGAGGGGAGACGAAGACCGCGCCACAGTTCTGTTGCGCTTCCAAAAAAAATAATACGAAAAAGAGATACATCTGCACAAAACAAATAACAAATAACTTAATATGAGCAAACTGAACAGAATCGAGAGATAATAACAGAGAAGGCGCGTACCGCAGAGAGCGAGAGGAGAGGAGAGAAAGAAGAGAGAAGCGGCACTTAGGCGCCGATCTCGTCGTAGTCGCTCCTGGCCTTGTAGTACTTGAGGTACCAGAAGGCACCACCACCGACCACGGCGATGAGGGCGAGGATGGCCAGCACGATGAGAGCCCAGCCGAGCGCACCGAGACCCTCTGTAGCGACGACAAATAAGAAGATGAAGATGAAGGTGAAGGTGAGCTTATCGATCGAACGACATCACCCAACACGACAACAACAGCCTCAGAGGAGGTGAAAGGAGGATAGAAACATGACGAACCGTTGGGGACCACCATGCTGTACTTGGTGTCCTTGCCGATGGGGACGCCGTTGGCGTTGATGGTGATGTTGTAGGTACCCGACCTGGTGAGGGTGAAGCCCACATTGTAGGCGCCGTTGTTCAGGTCCTGTACGCTACCGGTCACGGTCGCGCCTGTTGTTCGAGACAAACGAGAGCTGACGTCAGCACCATGTCGATCGTGATCATGATCATATGAAATTGTCATCATAACGGTGTTGGTGATGATGCTGATCATTAGTTGTGATGTCTGTGTGCGTAGTACGCCGCGGCCGTAAAGCGACCGCGACGTAATGATGCACACGATCCGAATTCAGGTAAGGTGGATATGTTCAATGTTGCACTTTAAAACCCCTCGACACATCATGGCCAGGATGTGTCGAGTTCTCAGTCGTGCCACGCAAAAGAAAGAAAACATACACCACACACACACACACACACGAGAGAGAGAGAGAGAGCACGTACCGCTCTTCATCTCCTTGAGGGTGACGTCGATGGTGGCGCCACCGGACTTGAGGCGGTTGTTGAAGTGATCGGCGGTGATGACGACGAACGACAGGGGCACCTTGGTCTTGGGGGTGGCCAGGCCGAGACCCTCGGCGAAGCAGTTCTTGGGGTCCAGGGTGCCAGGGTGCACGTTGACGATGAAGGGCGAGGCCTTGATGGGCGCACCGTTGAGGCTCACCGAGATGCGGGTGGAGAGGGCGTTGGTGGGCACGTAGCTCACGATCCACTGCGACCTGTCGGCCGAGTTCTGGACCGCGGTGTGGGCAATCTGGAGCGGCACGCCCGAATCGTCGCTGAAGCTGACGGCAATCGAGGCATCGGACGAGGCCATGTTGTTGCCAAACTGGTCGCGGGCCTGCACGGTGAACGAGGCGTTGTTGCCGGCCGACGCGGTGGTGAGACCGGCGCCGGTGGCCACGGACTGCGCGGCCGAGGTGATGGTCTCGGCGCTGATGGTGACGGGGAACGGGCTGCCGGAGATGGGCAGGCCGGTGGGGGCCATCACGATGGTGAGTCTGTAGGTACCAGCGGTGCTGATGGCGTACGAGCCGGCGAGGGTGCCGTCGGGCTGCACGGTGAAGGTGACGTTGTTGCCGGCGGCGGGCTTGTCCCAGAAGCCGGTGAGCTGGTAGCCGGCGGGCAGGTTCGAGGTGATGTTGTTCTGGAAACGATCCCTCACGAGCACGACGGCGGTGAGCGTTGTGCCGGCGGTGCCGCCCACGATGCCGGTGCCAGAGGCGACCGAGGCCGAGGGCTCGGGGAGCGCCGGGGTGATGGTCACGGCGTTGAAGGGCGAGCCCTTGACCTGCTGGGCGGTGCCGTTGTAGGTAACGGTCATGGTGTAGGTCCTGGCCGTGGTGAGCGTGTACTGGATCAGGTAGGTGCCGTTGCCGATGAAGCTGGAGCTGGCCGAGGCGCCGCCGTTGTTGAACGAGGCGGTGAAGGTGGCGGGCGGGTTGTTGTTGGGGTTGACGTTGTTGAAGGCGTCCTTGCCGAGGATGGTGATGTTCAGGGGCTGACCAGCAACGCCACCGTTGATGTTGCCGAGGATGTCGCTCTTGGTGGCATCGACGGCACCGGGGTCCACCGTGATCCTGAAGGGCATGCCGGCAAGCGCGTTGGCGTTGTAGTAGACTGCAGATCACCGACAGCAGCGGGAGATTCAGTATTTGAGCGACACTTGCCAATCGATGCGACGCAGAAAGAAAGGTTGTATGGCGTACCGGTGACATCATAGACGCCAGCAGAGGTGGGCGCGTAGGAGATGGTGTACGTTCCGTCATTCTTATCGACAACGTTAACGGAGGGCGAAACAACGGAGCCAGAGCCGCTGACGCGGGTGAACTCCACGGTCCACTTGGAGGCGTCGCCACCACTGCATGACAAACGAAAGGGAGAGGAATGTGGGTCAGCCGCGCAGGTCAGCAAACAAGAGCCGACGAATGTGAGCGGAAAAATATCCAAATAGTGATAGTGTGGTTCAGTTAAAAAGTCATGAAAGTTGGCATCAATGACACTCGAGTGAGCTGCCTCTGAAGTCGAAATCGCTAAACATCATGTCGTAACACTGTGCAATGGACGTGTGGTGTGGGGGGGGGTAGTGTGATGGCGCAACGTACGTCTGGTAGTAGTAACCGTTGGTGTCCACGCCCTGGACGGTGAACGAGGAGGTGCGGCCAGCGACGGAGTTGTTCTTGACGTTGGTGACGAAGCTCTTGGTGGCATCGAGGATGGCCACGTAGTTGAAGCTCCAGTCGAGCACCTCAACGTCCTCGCAGGTCGACATGCAGGCAGCGGTCAGACCAACGAAGGCACCGGAGGAGTTCAGGCTGATGATGCTGGGGATATCGATGGTGGTCTGGTAGGCGGGGCTGGCGCTGTCATCGATGTAGACGCTGAGCTGCTTCTCGATGTACTGAACGTTGTACTTGTGGGTGAAACCAGCGATACCGGGGATGTTGGTGACGGCACCTGCAAGCGGATGAAGAATGAGGATGTCAGAAAGGGCGCCCGAGCTGAGAGCGGCTTTGTAGAGGGGGGGAGGTTACCAGGGGGGGTGAGAGCAGTTTCCTCGTGAGCGCTGTTGTGGACGCGCTCAGGGGTGGTGTGGTGCACCGAGATGTGGTTGGAGTTGGGATCGCCCAGATTCTCATCCTACGCATGGCTCGAGATCATAAGAATGGCCCAAAGACAGCAGAAGTAAACTGCTGTTTGTGGGGGGGGGGTAATAGAGTGATTGATGATTTGCGTACCAGGTATGTGTCGAATTCGACGGCGACCGATCGCCTCACGCCGAGGTCCTCGTAATCGGGAGTGGCACCATAACCGATACCACCAGCTCCGGCACCGAAGGCGTTGGCTGTAAAGTCAAGAAATTAGCCTCGCTCTTGTACAAAATGCACCCAGCGAGACTTGATGGGGAGCCCAACGTACCCCTGTGGTTCTGAACAACGAGGGCGAAGCCGTCCGGGTTACCAACGCCGGTGTGCGACAGGTTGGACATGCGGACGGTGAAGGTGACATTGAAGCTCTCGAGATGAGCGCGCCTCTTGTACCAAACCGCGCCGACTTCGATTCTGCGCGTGTTGAATAGACCGAACGAAAAAAATGAGTACCGCGTCGCTGAATATGATGGTCTTGCAGCTCATAAAGCGGCAATCAGTGCATACCTCTCATCGCCGCCAAGGGGATCGTAAAACATGAGCTTCAGATTCTCAGGGCCAAAGACGGGGTTGAACTCAACGCCGAAATCGAGCTCATCGCGAGCCACGAAGCCGGTGTAGGTGAAGTTACGCACTGCACAGGGTTGAAGAGAACCGTAAGAACATCGCCAGCGTACGAGATGCCGGCGTAAAAATGCCCAAAGATGACAAAATCGAAAGCTGGGCATCAGAGAAGAATCGTACCGGCCGTGGAGGGAATGCCCTGGCCGGCCGCAACGTGTACAAGGGCCAGAACGGCCAAGAAGACCAATGAGATGGTGATGATTTGTCGCATTATCTTACTAATGTGACTTTCTGCTCTACTTCGATCCTCTACAAGATGACGCCAAAAAGGAATCGGATTAATCTCCTGACGCGTCTTGCTGCTTCTGTGCGGAGTGTGGCTGTCTGTGGTCTGTGGGCGGGTACCAAACAACCCGCTCGAAGCAATGGCCGAAAGGGAAGCGAGACCTGAGGAGGTGCGCGGGAAGCGAAGGTGCAAACGAGCCGACGAAGAAGGGGCCGACCACGGCAACGGCAAACGGGAAGTGCGGACCTGGTCTTCCTGCCATGTCGACAATTTTCATTTTCGACGTCGACACAAACTGATCTGAAACTCCGATTTTCCTATTTTCCGATTTTCGAGAAGGAGAACTAACACTGAGTGAGTGTTGTGGTGACTCTTCGCAGACTTGTCTCTTGTCTCTCTGCGAGTTTCCTCAGTTTTTCTTCCACACTACAATGTAACCAGGTCATGTGTGCTTGGCCCTATTGTGTAGCTCAATTGATTTGATCACATGCGTAACTTTACAGCTTGCACACGGCGTTGGGGCGCTTTGGGAAAACTTGGGTGCGCCGTTCCACGCGCTCGATGGCCTGGCGCAGGGCGGGCGTGATGAGGGCCTTGGTCTGTTTCTCGTGGTCAAAGGACACCAGCGTGCCCGTGCCGCGGTAGCACACGGCGGCGCTCTTGCCGTCCTTGGCCGTGCGCACGATCTTGTGCTCGATGGACATCGATGAGTTGCCGAGCTGCTTGAGGCGAATGTACACTCGCGCTTCTTCTCCCATCAGCATGGGGATCTGGAGCGCACGCGTGTGAGTGCATCATTTCGTTTCGTTTTTCCCCCCTGGATTGAAATGAGAGCGTACCATGTATTGAATGGTGCCGGCCGCCATGACCGCGTCGAACTCCTCCTCGGGCGCGATCTTGGACAACTCGCTGCGCACTTCATCGAGCCACCTCACCCTCGCCTCTTGCATCCAATCTGCACGAAAGAGGAAGAGAAGATCATTGAGCTCAACCAATCAACCAATCATAGCTACCACGCATCGAAGGAACGCGTACAGTAGACGGCGCAGTTGTTGGCATGCACGTTCACGTCCAGGTCCCGGTACTCGACCTCGTGCACCCAGCAGAGCGGCCACTCCTCAAACTCGTCGCTCGGCGTCGCTGGCTTGGCGGTGGCCGGCTCGGCAGCGGCAGCGGCGGTCGCGGAGGCGCTGGTGGCTGGCGGCGTCGACCCGGCGGCGCACTGCTCAGCGCCGGCCTCGAGCAGTCGTCGCAGTGCGGGTGTGAGGTTGGCCTTCTTCTGCGTCTGTGGGTCGATGCAGACCAGCCGCGCGGTCCCCCGGCCGCACGGCGTGGCCTCGCCTTTGCCCGCAGCAGCGACGTCGGCCGGCGGCCTCTTGACGATCTCGTAGCGGAGGGTGAAGTAGGAATTGCCCACGGCGGCGATGCCCAAGTGCACCACGACGCGCTCGGAGTGGAAGATGGGCGCCAGGTACTCCACGGTGCTCTCGGCCACCACCGTGGGCGCCAGCTTCTCACCGCGGGCGGCCAGCTCAGGCAGAAGCTTTCGCCGCATGTACGACGTTCGCGCCTCCTGCATCCATCCTGCACCCACAAACGAATTATTATTGTGCAGGATGTAATAATGAAATAAAAACAAAAATAATTTTGATAATTATAAAATCCGCACGCATATTTTTTTTCATAATAAATAAAAAACAGGATAAAAGCGCCGGAGGGGTACGGAGAAGGATGACGCTGTTGACGTGGGCGTTTGTGTCCAGGTCCGCAAACTCAACCTCCCGCTCCCAACTGAAGCTCCACCGCTCCTCTTGTGTCTTCTGCATCGCTTGTTGATTCGATTAGTTGTGGTTTTTTGGGTTTTTGGTGCCTCCCAAGTTGCCAGCAAGTTAAGGTAGCGGCTGAGGTTGATTTTCTTTTTCTTTTTAATTGTTTCACACAAATACAAGTCGCTGATGTCGAAGAGGCCGGTGCATCAGACACAAATCGTTACGGCTAGTCGTTAAACTCGATCGAGGAAAGGACAAACGAACCGCCCCTCTTTGGTGATAGATCGAAAACGAAAACGAAATCAAAAGAGCGAAGAAAGCGAGGCCACCCCCACGATGTTGATGTCATCGGAAGAGACGCCAACGACCTCAAGTGGGCCTTCTTCGCCGGGTCGGCACCACGCGGTGACGTTGGTGGGGTCCGTTGAACCGATGGAGATGGAGAGACTGCGCCAGGCCTTCATCTGCACGAATGGCACGCGGCTCCAGACCTCGGGAGGCGCTCAGGCTTCGATTCGATCTTCCATCTCCTCCCCTTCTCCCTCCATCCCTGAAGCAGGAGGCCTCGTCGCAATCTCACAGCGTATCCGTAGGCCCGAACGGTGCAGCCCCCCCCGCCACTTTCTTTTATAAAATCTTTTTCTCTTTCTTCAAAATCTTCTCTCACTCATCTCCTTTGTTACCAATGAATTCCATTCTTTGACCAATTGATTCAAAAATCAACTTCCCTCCATGCCCCGGGTGACAAATCACGTGATTGCATCTCCTCTCACATCTTTTTTTTTTTTGGCAGGTTCTCGTTTGAGGTCGAGGGCGAGCAAGTGACCCTCGTTCTCGACGTCTGTTGCTCCGGTACGCTCACCCCCCCCCCACACCAAGGCTTCATTGTCCTACACTCGTGTGCGGCAACGAGTCCTCACGCCATATGCGTGGCCGACGCTGCATGCGCGGTGGTGTACCGCAACATTTGCGCTCTCGAGCAGGTGTCAAGCGATCGGACGCGGTCAAAAGCGCAGATGCGCTCGTGCTGGTCTACAGCATCACCGACCGCGAATCCTTCAAAGCGCTCAGCGGCCTGCGCGACGACGTACTCAAGTACGTGCACCGCGCACCGCGCGCCACGCTCTCACACACACGTTTCGCGCAACACACTCTTAAACACGATCAATCGATCAGAGCCAGAGACGACGACGGCGGGCCGCCGCTCGTCCTGCTGGGCCAGGATTCGCACAAGGAGTTTGGGCGTAAGGTGAAGCGCGAAGAAGCGGATTCGCTCGCCAAGAAGTGGAAGTGCTCCTCCTTCGAGGTGTCTTCGCTGACCAACCACAACATCGAGGAGGTAGGAGCGAGCGCCACTCTCACCCCCCCTAACCGTTTACTGATCGCACATGACGATGTCGTGTCGTGTCGTGTGTGTCGTGTCATACGTGCCGTATGTCGTGCAGGTGTTGTTTGAGGTGGTGAAGCAGATCAACGCGAATAGCAGCAAAGCCCCCCGACGCAAACTCAACCGCACGCTCCCGTTTCGCCTGTTCAGCAGCCGACAAGAAGAGACCACGACCCTCGGCGCATCGGCGCCGTTGTCATCGACGTCGACGACCACCTCCTCGCCCCCGGGCGGCGGCCTCGGCTCGCCCTGGTCCGGCTCCGTCTCGAACCCGGTCACGACCCACACCAGTCGCACACAGCAGTTCACCCAGGCCGACGACCCCAAGGCCGGCCGGGCGCTGCGGCTCTCGCTCCGCTCGAAGGGCAGCAGCGACGCCAAGGACAGCGGCAAGGAGGCGCGAAAGAAAGAAAAGGAAAAGGCAGCCAAGGAAAAGGGGGAGAAAAAGGAGAAGGGCTGGCTGAAGCAGACGCAGCGGAGGGCCAAGAAGAAGCGGAGCAACAGCAGCAACAAGAAGAAGAGCGGCGCCGACGATGCGGCAAAGCCGGTCGGGCGGCGGAAGGAGGACATGCGGATGCTGGGCCAACGCCAGACGATGATGAAACTCTCCCAGCGCATGGAGTCCATGTCGACAATCAAGCGCCCGCAGGCGCCGCCCAGGCCGCCGCGCCACGGAATCGACGGCCTGGGCGGCGCGGCTGGTGTTCCACCGAGTGGGGCAGTCGAGGAGGAGGCGCCGCCGCACATGCAGGAGGCTCAGTCGTTCGCCGACCTGGCGGCCACGTCGGCGCGCACCGTGATCCGTGGGTTTTCGCCGGAGCAGGCCTACGGCATGCTCATCACCACCTCCGGCCCGGCCATCGACGTCATCGCCGAAGTCGCGAGCAAAGAGGTGCGGCCCACCACGCCCTGTTGCCTTCGGGCTTTTGGTGGTGGCGGCTCACCACTCACGCGGCCTCGTCTCGTGTGTGTGTGTGTGTGTCGTGTGTGTGTCGTGAGTACAGAAAGCAATCACGGACTTGCTGACCGAGATCGGCTTGCTTCGGTACAAAGAGAATCTGTTGCAGGCTCACGTACGCGCGTGTCCAGCTCTAATCGGCCCTTGAGCGCCACGTCGGTCTTACAATGTGTCGTGTCGGTCGCGGCTGCTCCACCCACAACATGTCACAGGACCTGCGATTATCGGACCTGCCGCTGCTCAAGGAGTGGGACCTCGACCGATTAGGCATCACGCTCATGGGCCACAAGAAGAAGCTTCTCAAGGCCTTCCATCAGTCCCTCAACCGAATCGCAAGTACGCCTCCTCGCATCTCCTTCAGTGCAGCGCAACGAGTTCCACCGCACTCACCGTATGACCGCACACGCACGACTCACCGAACTCGCGGCTCGCTGGGTTCAGACGGCGGGGAGGGCGATCCGTTGTACTGGGTGATGGAGCCGAGCGAGCTAAGCCTGGGCAAGCGCCTCGGCGGCGGCAACTTTGGCGAGGTGGGTGACTCAGTCCCCACGGCCCACGTCGTTGACTTGCATTGAATTCGCGCTTTTGCTGACAGTTGACAAATACTGACCACGGCGGGGTGTGTGCGCGCAGGTGTTTGTGGGCAAGTGGCGTGGCATGGCGACGGTCGCGATCAAGCAGCTGCGCGAGGTGGACACGTCATCGCTGCAGGAAGAGGCCAAGATCATGAGGTGCGCAAGCCCAGTTTCAACTCCGACAGAAAACTGTAACTGACTGACATTCGTCGCATTCGTCGCATTCTCGCGGCCGCGCGCGTAGTTCGGTGTCGGTCCATCCCAACGTGGTGACCCTCTACGGCGTGGCGCTCAGCCCGGGCTCCGCGTACCTCGTCACCGAGTTCATACCCGACGGCTCCCTCGACTCCTACCTCAAGGTACTACTTCACTTCGCTTTTTTCGTCTCTCTCTATTTCATGTCCGGCTGCTCATCTCTCTCTCGTGTCGTGTGTGTCGTGTCATGTGTCGCGTGCGCAGTCCAACATCAACCGAATACATTCCAAGGTGCTGCTGCGGATGTGCAGGGACGTTGCTGCTGGAATGGTGCGTGTGGCCGCCTCGCGTTCGCTTCACCCCCCATCGCTCAGTGGCTCACGCAGTCGTGTCGGCAACCCCCCCCCCCCACAGGACCACCTCCACTCGCATCGCATAGTCCATAGGGACTTGGCCACGCGAAATCTCCTGCTCAAGCTTCGCCACGGCGGCGAGCCCGTGATCAAGGCACACCACTCGCCTACCACCCCCTCACCACTACCATGCCACCCACTCATCATCGCACGCACACCACCGCACACGCACACGCACACGCACACGCACACGCACACGCACACGCACACGCACACGCACACGCACACAGGTGTGTGACTTTGGTCTGTCGCGCACGCTGGAGGCGAGCGAATATTACTGGGCGACCAAGTCCCTGATGCCCATCCGGTGGTCCAGCCCCGAGGCCCTCAAATACCGCAAATTCACGCCCAAGTCCGACGTGTGGAGCTTTGGCGTCGTCATGTGGGAGGTACGACCACGCCGAAACCACGAAAACTGAAACTTTCGTCTGGCGTGGTTGGTTGTCTGCTGACTGACTTTTCATCTTCGTTTGGTCAAACTTTTTGATCAGATATTCTCGTTCGGTCAAGTGCCCTACAGCGCGCTGACCAATAGCGAGGTCATGACCTGGCTCGACCAGGGCGAACGCCTGCCGCGACCCAATAGGTACCCCTCACCATTCATCACGTTCTTCATTTTCGATGTATTTATGTTTTATTATATTTATATGTATTTAATTTCAACAATATATTATATTTATATATATTAGATGTCCGGAGGCGGTGTATCGGGTGATGCTCAAGTGCTGGCATCTCGACCCGAAGCGTCGCCCGGCCTTCTCCGAGCTCTTCAGCGTGCTCGAGCGGATACTCGAAGCCGACGACGCGGAGGCCTCGTCTGCAAGCACGTCGTCGCCCCTGTCGTCGACCACGTCGTCGCCCCATCAACGGCCCCCACTGGCATCGGCCTCGTCGATGGCCGCCTACGGCCCCGGCGGCGGAATGCTGTCGACATCAGGGCCGGTGTCGACAACGGCGGCTGGCGCCGCCGGCGACGCAGAGGACGAGAGCGGCGAGGGCAGCGGGTCGGTCGACCTCGCGGCCAATATGTGGGGTGACAGCAGCAGACACGCCAGCGGCGTCCTGGGCAGCCCCACAACGGCGGCAAAGAACGAACACGGCAGCAGCAGAGGCAGGAGCGGAAAGAGCGAAAGCGGCGAGAGGACCCGGAGCGGACGGAAGGCTTCCAGGGAGGACCAGCAGACCACCAATGGTCGAGTAGCGATGAGAGAGCTCGGGGGGAGCATGGCAGAGTACGGCAGCGGCGGCGGCGGCGGAGAGGCCGATACGTGGCCGGCCATCGTCGAGCGCGAGGGGTCGACCATCGAGCAGATCATGCGGGACACCACCCGCATGGCCGCCGAAGCCGCGCCCATCGTCCCAGTACGCTCACCGCACACGCACCACCGCACACGCACGCGCGTCGCCGCACATGGGACTCACACTCCTGCGGCGCAGGAGATGGAACTGAGGTTCAAGGAGGAGTTGGCGCGGGGTGATGCGCGGGCGTGCCCCTGCATGATCCGCGTGGGCGCCCACGTATGGTGCGGCGCGCCCGGCGGCCGGATTGACATCTACCACGCCATGGTCCGTCCCGATCCCACGACACGACACGACACGACACGACACGACACGACACGACACGACACGACACGACACGACACGACCAACGACACGACACTGAGGGAATGTGAAGCTGACTTTTTTTAATTCGTTGTTGGTTGGGGAATGAGAAACCACAGACAACACAGCACGTGTTTACGATCATGGGGCACTTCAACACGCGCGTGCTACGACTCGTCCTCGTCGGCGGGCTCGTGTGGTCGTGCGACGAAAACCTGATCCGCATTTGGGACCCGCTCACTGTATGCCTCCTCCTTACCACGACACACACACACACACACACACGACCGCACGCACGCACAACTGCACTTGCGCGAGCTCACCTTGCGGCGTTTACAGTTCAAGCAGGTGTGTGAGCTGACGGAGCACTCGGGCATGGTGCGGTCAATCCTGCCCGTCTATTCCTGGTACATTCTCTTCATTCCGTTGCATTTGGCCTTGGCCGTAATGCAAAGAATGTGACTGACGCATTGCCCAACACCAGCCCGCCGGCGGAGGGGAAGAGCCTGCGTCGTTCGAATTCCTCGACCATCTCGCCGCGCGGGTCGGCATCACCGCCCGGCTCGCACCAACAGGGCGCCAGCGCCGGTCTGCGCAAGCTGCAGTCGTCGTTCGAGAGCTCGGCGGCGGCGCGACGCGGGTCGCAGCCCTCTGTCCCGACCACCTCGGGCCCCGCCACGCTCAGCGCCGTGTGGACGTCCGACACCAGCGGCAAGATCATCATCTGGCAGCCCAACGTACGCGTGTGTGCGGTCGTGTGCGGCGCGTGTCGTGTCGTGTCGTGTCGTGTGCTGACATACGTTAATCCCGTCGCATCGCAGCAAAAGCAGCCGACGGTGATGAAGGAGATCGTGTTGCGAGAGGAGCCCATCTCGTGTATGTGCCAGGTGGGCAATGCCGTCTGGCTCGGCGCCGAAAAGCGAATCTATTGCGTCGATCTCAACGTACGCACACACCGCACACACTTTTTTTCTTGGGTGCTGACTCAACCGGTAATTTGGTGCAGACGCACGCGATGTTCAACTGGACGGCGCATCAGCGGACCGTGAACGATCTGCACTACGAAAACGGGCTCGTGTGGTCGTCGGCCAACGACGGCAAACTCAAGGTAGCGCCGCTTGCCTCGATTCACTTGCCACCGCACCCATTGACACACGACTCACGACACGACCAACGACGCAGGTGTGGAACGGCGGCGAGACTCCCCAGACGGTGAACCTGGTGTGGGAGACGGACGTGGAGGCGTCGGTCAACTGCTTCGCGCGGGTGGTGCACCCCAAGTACCCCACCGCCGTGCGCCTCTGCGCCGGCGCCGTCTTCGGCACCGTCACCATGTGGGACGCCAAGGTAATGCGCGTGCGCGTGCGCGTGCGCGTGCGCGTGTGCGTGTGCGTGTGCGTGTGCGTGTGCGTGTGCGTGTGTGCGGTGCGACTGACAAATGCGCGTGGGACGGGGCAGACGAGGGAGAAGAAGCAGCAGGTGGGCCAGCAGAAGGATGTGATCAAGAGCATGCTGTGGGTCGAGGAGACGCTCACCCTGTGGACGGCCTCGTTCGACCACACCATTCACCTGTGGCAACTCACCGTGCCCCGGTCGTCGTCCGCCTCCAGCGGCGCACACTACCACCACCAGCGGGCCGCGTCTCGACCATGATAAAGTCACAGTATGTGAGTGATCGCGAGGCTGTATGTTGTGTAACAAAATATTTATTTGAGGCAAGCGTGTGGTTGGCCCCTTGTTTATATTTCGGACCAATGGGACTGGAGTGCTGGTTTGAGGAAGCGGCCGAAATTTGAGATATAGACTTGCAACTTCACAGCTCAGTTGCCAGTACAACAGCTCATCCCCGACCAGTCCAAGTTGCACTTCACCCAGGGCGCCTCCGTGAGGAAATGCTCTCTGAATCGCGCACGCACGCACGACCGCACGCGCACACCACTAACAAGGTGTAATGCGCAGAGCCGGATGTGGTGTTGTGCGGATGTGGGAATGAGGTGACGCTGGAGGTGGTGATCGCCCAGTCAGGAATTACCTCCAAGATGTTGAGGAAGGACGCGCCGGGCCTGAAGGTGCGGGTGGTCAACGTGCTCGACCTCATGTCCCTCTACCTTAGCCGGTACCCCCCCCCGGTCCTTCTTTTCATTAGCGTTATACTAATCATCATGGACATGGACAGGTTTTCACGGCCGACCGACCCGTGGTGTTCGCCTTCCACGGCTGTCCGTCTGTCATCATTCTCTTCGGGCGCACCCGCACCTCCCGCTTGTACGTGGTATTCTCTTCCCTTGTTTACATTGCTACAATCTTCTATTGAGCCAAACACATGTCTGTGTTAATGATTTCACTGTAGCTGGGGCCATTGAGGAGGGTACCACCACGATCGAAGCGCTCACCTACGTCACCACCCGGCCCAGGCCCCTCATCTTCATTGAGCTTCTGCGCGTGTTGACACCTATCTCGTGCGTGGCTGTGGGTACGCCACGGCTTTCAGCCCGGAGGCCAGGGGAGCGGCCGCCGGGCCTCAGATCACGCTACGAATCGGCTCTCGTCGACCACGATGTCCACAGACAGCACCACGGCAAAGATCCCATGTGGTTGTGGTCGTGGAGCACAGATGTTAATTATAACCACCAACCAACGCCCCACATTCATCACTACACCGGTTCGTGTCAATTCGGTAGATGGGGCACTTGCCCTCAGAGGGCTTGTGCTCTCCTTACCAATTTCCAGAACAAATTCCCATTGGATGATAACGTCGGGTCTTTTAGCCTGTGTTTCACCCAATAGAACAAAACCGTGGCTTTTTCGACTCCGCTCGGACTTGGTCTAGAGTTTACCAAAAACAAAAACGCCATCATGTTTATTTTCTCTCCGAGTAACCATCTTGATTTCATCTATTCTTTATTCCCCATTCTCTCCATCTTCCTCTCTCTCTCTTCTCACAACTTTCTACAACAGTACACATGCTCGTACTGTTATTGTTTCTTCTTTTTCATGGCGAGGGGGCGCTTGTTGGGGCGCAAGGTGTCCAGCCAGCGCCCTCTGCACCTCCGCCCCAGTGCCTCTACGTGGCCGACCTCCAAGTCTCCAGCGCCGGCTACGTTGTCACCTCCTACGGCCGCCTCCTCGTGTGGGACGGCGCCGGCCAGTCGCTGGCCAACCTCACCGCCGTGCCCACCGCCCTCGCCCTCGACCGCACGCAGGACGTGCTCTACGTCGCCGGCCTGGGCACCGTACAAAGGTTAACTATTTTTATTTTTATTTGTTTTATATTTTATATTTTATATTTATATTTTTGAATTCGCCACAGGCTGTACATAGGAGGTAACCTTTCGCAGGCGAATTCCCTCTGTCCGTGCTCGCTCCTCAACGACCTGTCCACCATACGGTACCCCTTTGGTTGCCAAGCAGCAGCTGTTGGTCGTGTGAATAAAAAAATATAACTATTATAAAACTAACAAATATAATTATAACAATTCGCAGGAGCATGGTGGCGGACGAGAGGGACGGAGGGCTGTTTGTGAGCTTGCACCAGATGATCTGCCACTTCTACCCGGTCGCGCAGACCATTACCGGCTGCGATGACTTCGGCAGTCTTCTCGGCTCTGCCACACTTACACACCTGGTCCTGGATCCGGGTGAGCACACAACACACGCAACACACGCAACACGCACCACCGCACACGCATTATCGCACCACCGCACACGCACTCACACAACTGCGCGCAGATCGGAATCTGGTGTATGGGGCGCCGAGTGACGGGCTGGCCGTCATGGTCTTCTCGGTCGTGGCCTCCTCCAAGCTGCAGTATTTGACCACCTGGACGCCCTTGCCGCCCCAACAGAACCGCACCTATGTCGGTACGCGTCGACAAGCAAGTGCTGCCAACCGCACGACACGACACTCACGGCGACACGCCACGCCACGCCACGCCACGACACGACACGCCACGCCACGCCACGACACGACACAGGGCTGGCTATGGGCGCGAATGGCAATCTGTTCGCCAATCTGATGCCGCTGGATGGTACGGTGATCGTCGAGCTGGACCTCAACAACAACGGCAGCCTGGTGTCGCGCTACGTGGCCTCCGCGGCCGAGCTCGCCACCATCGACGACTTCTACGACCTCGCCTACAACAACGACACCGGCCTCTTCTACTCCTTCTTCACCTTCCAAGGCAGCACCCCAACCGTACGTCCTGTCGTGCGTGTGCGATTGTGCGATTGTGCGTGTGCGGTGGTGCGTGTGTCGTGTCATCTGAGAGTGTTGTGTGCAGATTGGGTCGTACCAGCTCGTGCCGTCGTCGTCGGTGAACGGCACCTTCAACAACTCGATCATCACCGAGTTCACCTCCCCCGGCTCCGGCCCCGCCTCGCCCCTCTCCATGGTCTGGGGCCGCTGCCCCTACCTCGCCGCGCCCTCGGCCTCGCCGTCCCCCGCCGTCGGCGGTGGCGGCAGCAACACCAAGCAGGACATCACCATCTCGTTCAGCGTGGCCGCGCCCTTCATCATCATCATGATGCTCATCTGCTGCTGCTCGCCGGTCGTGTTCGTCTGCGTGTGGCGCCGCCGCCGGAGGTACTACACCGGGCCACGGGGCCGCCGCGGGAGCAGCGCCGAGACGGGCGTGGAGATGACCGACCTCGAGGGGGCGGCCGCGGCGTCGGCGTTCACCTACCGCGAGATCGACTTCGCCGACCTCACCCTGGGCCGCGAGCTGGGCCACGGCGCCTTCGGCCGTGTTTACCGCGGCGAGTACCGGTACGTGTCGTGTGTGTTGTGTCGTGTGTGTCGTGTTGTGTGTGCGGCGCGCTGATGAAACCGCACGCGCGGACCCAGGGGAGCGGTGGTGGCGGTGAAGATGTTCGAGGGCGTGCGGCTGGACGAAGCGGAGGAGCATACGATCCGCGAACTGCGGAAGGAGGCCGAGATGCTGGAGAACCTGTCGAACCACCCCTGCATCGTCAAGTTCGTCGGCGCCATCACCCAGGGTACGTACCCTCGTGTGCCCACCTGCATCTCATCATCCCTCACTTCTGCGTGCGATGTGCGGTGTGTGCGG